TGGAGTCTTGGGTTGAAACTCATGGCCATAGGAAAATATGAATCAAAATGATAACTAATATGAAGAAAAATAACATTTTGATGTATTTATTATAATGGATATCCATAACAATTTTATATGGACATAAATTATCTATTTATGATAACTAAAAAAAGTGTCTTAGTTTTTATACTACTTCTGTCTTTTTTTTTTTTTTTTTTTTGGTACCAAGGATCAAACTCAAGACCTTGCACTTGCCGGGCAAGCACTTATTCCGGCCCCTACTTCTGTCTTCATGGAAGTGTTTAAATAGGAAAATCAAAAGTAGATGATAGGAAAAAGGGAGGTAGATTCCATTATGTTGGGAAAGGGATCTGTGGATGGAGCAAAATGGGGGACTAGGTGGAGAAAGTAGAAGTAAAAACAACCAAGAACCTCGCCACGGTGAGTGTGGCTATCATTTCATAAACATATGCTAATGAAAACAGAAATGTAAGATTATTATAAAGGAAACAAGATGGTCAGACATTAGTTCCAGTATCAAGTTCTGCTTCTTTGGAAACTTAATGAGGAGAGAAAAGGAAGTTATATTGCAAGCTGTTGTGAAATTGCTATAAATATTCCACACATCGGTTAACATACCATGCGAGTTGGGTTGGGAAGCAGTATGCGAGACACACAGTAGAGTTCAAGTGCTGGGTTAAGTGGGAATGTCTGTGAAGGATAAGAGTTGAAGGAAGGACATCTAGCAAAAAAAGGCCTAGAATCACTGAAAATCTGACACGAGAGAAAAAGGGACAATAAGAGTGATTACTCAGCTATAAAGAAAGATATTACATCTTGAAGTTTTTCTAGGTAAATGGATTCAGCTAGAGATCATACTCAGAAGTAAAATAAATCAGAGTCACTGGTATAAACATCATATTGTCTCCTTAATGTGAGAAACTGAAGGAGTAAATAAGATCCAAAGAGGTGGCAGGGATGTTATAAAATGGAAAGAAACTGCAGAACCGGAAAAACAACTGGGATGGGGAAAAAAGAGAAAAGCAGAGAGAGAGAAAAAAGATATGACATGCGTATGTACCCAAGAGAGCTAAAATAATTGTGCTACTAATTTCTATTAGGTCATTGAAATGAAGCTTGTGCTTATATCGTTGGATCAGTTGCACATGCCTGTACCTGGTAATCTGCGCAGTTACTTTGAAGATAATAATTTGTCATACATAACAACCATTGTTGATTTCTTATTTATTTGTAATTTTGCATCTTTATATTTTTTTGTCTCTTCAAAATAAAAAAACAAAACAAAACAAACAAGAAAATCCCACCAAACAATAATGAAAAATAAGACTATTGATATATAGTTGTATTTATTATTTTATGTTTGGAAGGTTGCCCTTACTTTATGTTATTTGATTAAACTTATCCTTTAGAGAGGCTGTGTCACATATTGGTTGGCTTCAAATTGATCTCCCCAAGCATCTCAAGCTATTCTTACACTAACAATTTCTTACTCCATGCAATTTCAAAACAAGAACCAGCTGAAATGTACGCAGACACAGAGCCGGAGCCTTCGACCTGAAGTGCTGTGGGACAGCCCTAAGGGAGAGGCTTAGTTTGCTTATAGCTCTCCCCAGCTTTTGAGAGATTGGGTTTTTTTTTTCTTTGTCTTTGAAAAAATCTTATAACAAGAGAAGAGGTCCTTTAGGCAATTTCTCTTGAGAATAACAACCACAGATTTTCTTAGAGAAAAATGATTGTCTTCCCTTCCATGTCACAACTCAGGGAATGCACGTATCTGATGGTCAGTGGAAGCAAAACGCAGCTCTGCTTGTGGAAGAAAAGCAGACACTATATCAGATTGCCTTTCCTGATACCCATCAGAAACACACTACTGTAGTTCAGTTAATTAGATTGCTAACTAATTTGGTACACATTTCCCTTTGCCCTTAAAATAAATTAAAAAATCGTACATTCAGAAAGCTGTAAAATAAGGACATGAAATTATTCCAGGGGAAAGCAATTTTATATCAATGGTCACACTTTCCATAGAGATTTTACACAACATTTATTTTGTTCCAAGATGTTCCCATATACTTGCTTATTATTTCTACCTTTATGGAGCATCAAAAGTCAACCAAGCAGTCTTTCATTTTGGATTGAATTAATAGCAAAGTTGCTTAAATATCAGATAGTTAACTAAACCAGACACTAGAGAAATATCTATACTTAGGTGTTACATTTATACACAACACAGCAAGATATAAGCAGCTATTTATGGTCACTACTTCACCAGTTCTGAGAATAATCTGTCAAGTCACAGGAGCAGGGTGTAACTGTTCCATTTTTGTTGTGTTCAGGAATATGCTCAGAACATTTCCGTGCCCAGGGCCTTGTCCTATCCTTGGATCTCCTGATGAGCAACATTTCTTATTCAGTGAAATGCAGCAAGTTCTTTCCATGCTTACCTCATGTCAGTTTATACTCAGAGAGATTCCCTGTGTAGACACAGATCTGGGCAAATGATTCAGGGCAGATAGAAAAAAGTAGAACAACAGAAAGGCTATGGAGATGTCTAGAAAGGAAGGTGGATGGCAGAGGCACTGCCTGGTACCGGCTAGTCAGCTAATAAATCTCCAGTTATTAACAATACTAGTATTTCAGAATTTACAGAGGCTTAAGAATCCTCCTTTGACCCACAAATAGATTCTCTTCAGTCAGCAAGCATTTACTGAGTCTATGTCACATGCAGGAACTTGAATTTAGCACTATCAGGGACACAAATACACATACAGGCTGATGACCAAAGGGTTTCTAATCTATCAGCAACCTTGTCACTAGCACACAAAATCATTAAGGCCTAATTGATTGCACCAATCTAAAGGCAATAATAGTTTGAATCCACTCAAATTCAGTAGAGCTGAAAGTACGTCCCTAAGCTATGTGGGAGCTGAGCTACACCTCAGAGATTGGCTAAGATTTGTTGAGAATAAGGAAAAGTGACTTCAAGCACAGGAGATAAATATACGGGATTAGGTTGATATCAGTTGTCCTGATCGAGATAATCCTCAGACTGTAACAGAATTGATTAACATGGTTTATTGCAGAGGATATGGGTAGGCATGCTAAGCATAGGATGGAGATGAATAAAAGTTTTAGACAAAGAAAAAGAAGATCAGACACTAAATCAGGCACTTTCTGGTTCGGATTAGTGAGAGACAAATACCGGGATGATTCGTGATACAGGCAAGATATATTTTGTGCTTTTTAAACTTGAATAGAAAACCACTCCCTTTGCCCACTCTAAGAAGTTCATGGTTTGTCTAAGGGCACATTCCCTCTGAAGTAGTTTATGAATCCTAAAGGTATCATAAGTATTGTGAGAAGTTCTTTCTCAATTCATATTTATTAATTCACACTGTATTAATTCAGTTTTTCTGCTACTGAGACATGATACCTGATACCCACCGTGTAAAGAAGCTTTACCCAGCTTCCTGCTTGGGGAATTCAGTCCATAGTTGCCTAGCGCCAAGGCAGGAAAGCCATGGTGACATGCGATGGGACAGAGCTGCTCCATTCTTGGAAGTGGCTGGGGAGAGTGGGCAACAGTGCCAGGGAGCAGCAGGTGAGGATCTATGCATAGTAGGCAGTCACACCTGCAGGAGCCACCAGACGTGCCCAGGCTCTACTAATCTATGAGGCATTTCTTGATCCAGTGAGGTTGATGTATCAGGATTTACAGTCACAGATTCCTAACCTCCCTTCCTCTCAAGTATTTTTTTCATATAAACACTCAGATCCTGCTAACAAAGAGGATATACATTTAAGAAAAGGAGTCACTGGATGATATCACTGTGAGAAGATCAAATACTGATAAGGTCTCCATGATTATACATGAAGACTGCATGTTATCCACATATGATGCAGTCCACTGGTGCAGGAGACCAAACAGGAGAGAAAATGATCCAATCAAGAGATACAAGCACTAGCTGATGGAGCTGCAGCCAGCATAATGCATTGGTTTCCCTCGGGTATTTTTGATGAGGAGTAGACTCTAAAATAACAAAATATGATACAGTAAATACAAAGTCATCTGTTATCACTATCAGTTATCACATGTGTTGTAATATAAGTGGATTACTACTCTTTATGAAATGGCAGCGTGGTATGTTTACAGCAACATCAAAGCACCACACAACAAGGCTACAATGAAACTTTATGAAATTAGTGTAATAAATGTGATCCACTATTCACCATACAATGCAATTGAGCATGTGACTGGGCTTACATTCAAGAAATATTTTTTGGCGTGATGGGTTTTCTTTTCCTCTTTTTTTTTTTTTTTTTTTTTTTTTTTTTTTACTTGCTTCTGTCATTTTGATTAGTTTCTCATGTTTCTTTCCTTTGTCTCTGTAAAGTAGGAGACGACCTTTGGAGAACAAAGCACATCAGTAATCCCATTAGATATTTGTTCTTTTTCTCTGTCTTTTTATTTGTCATTCTGAGTCAAAAGTTTGAATCCTTAGGCTTTCCAAACTTTTGTGTCATAGTTTGTGTAGTCTAACTTCTAAAAGAAAAAATGACATTTATTTATCCAGTTGTCTCTCCACCAATTTTTAGGACTTAAGCTGTCACAGTTGGCCACTGAGTAGAGAAAATGCTCTGCAGAGATGATAGCAGCTTCTGTCTTCACCTTTCCCTGGCTCAGGTGGAGGCCGCTGTGCAGCCACAACAACAAAAAATGAGAGATTTAAGGACATTATTTTTCTGGGGCAATACAACTAATATACTTTTGCAATCTTTATAACTGACTAAAAATCTGGCTATTCAAACATAATCCTTGCTGTCTCTTTTCCATCAAACACACGTTTTGAACGTAAATCTTTACCTTTGAAAATAAATCTTACACTCTTCTCTTCAAATAAGTCATGTGTCAGTAATGTACCCGCATCTCCTTTTTCATGTATTTAGTACAGGGTCTACAGGGTCTTACTACACAAATTGGACTCACAGTGATCCTCCTGTTTTCAGCCTTCCAGGTGCTGGAATTACAGGCACGTGCCAACATGCCCAGTCATATCTCCTTAAATATGGTGTCCTTGTTTAGAAATCTCTCTGGACTTCTAGCTCCCTGGGATTGCTGCTTGTGCCTTCACTGAAAACTACTCCACAGTTAGTATATTGGACATCTTACTCTATTTTTACTAAATATGTGACTGCCCTGGGTCTAATTTTCTTATTCAGTTCTTTTTTTATGAATCCAATATCAAATTTATTTTACTTTCTGATTTTTTTACTTTTAAATAATATGAAATAGTGATAAAAAAACAGAATTAGAGGTGATAGAAGATTTCACTGAACAAAATACTTGGAATTTAGCAATGGTTGCTGTATTGCATGATGCTATTTTCAAATTAGTTGTTCAAATTAACAGATATAAATGTGTAAGACCCATTCAAAGGAAAACCAAATAAAACAATAACAAAGAAGTTATAAGAAATTCTAAAGAGGGCCGGGGAGATGGCTCAGTGGAATAAGTGCTTCCCTGGCAAGCGCAAAGGCCTGAGTTCAATCCCTGGTTCCACCAAAAAAAAAAAAAAAAAAAAAAAAAAAAAAAGAAAGAAATTCTAAAGAGGAAAAAAGTCAGAGTAAAAATAATTTAAAGCATTAACTGCTCCTTTCAAAAGACTGGCAGAAATCAACAATACAATTATCCAAGCTATTTTGCATGTATACATAAATATATCTTTTGCCCTTCTTTTGTTTGTCCTTTTCTTCATCCTAGTTTTTCCTTCCCATTGAACAATTTCTTTCCCTCTCACAGTATCTGTTACACCTTTTAGATTTTCATTACTCTTTCAGATTCTCACATTAGTGCAATAATACAATGTTTGCACATGTGGATGGATCTGATTTATTTCACTTTCCAACATGGTTTCTAGTTGCATCCACTTATCTACAAAAGCTTCAATTTATCTTTTTTAGCTGAATAATACTTCATTGTGCAAAAATACCATATCTTTTTTATCCATTCTTCAGCTGATGGGCATTTGGGTTGCTTCCAAGATTTAGCTATGACAAATTGTGCTGCTATAAACATGGGTGCACATTTATCATTGTTGTATGATGATTTCAGTTCTTTTGGAAAAATATGTGGGAAGGGAATAACTGACTTGAATGGGACCTCCAATCCTAAGTTTCTGAGAAATCTCCACCCTGTTTTCCATAATGGTTGTCCAGCCTGCACTCCAGCCAACAGTGGACAAAGGTTCCTTTTTTCCCATAGCATATTCAGCTTTTGCTGTTGGTTGACTTTTTGATGATAGTCATTGTTTCCGGCATAAGATGGTATTTCAGCATTGTTGTAATTTGCATATCTTGAATAACCAATGATGTTGAACAGTTTTAAAAGTATTTATTTACAATTTGTATCTCTTCATTTGTGTATTTTCACCTCAGATGCCAAATTTTGGATTGGATCTTTCAATTTTAGAGGTGTGATTTTTTTTTTTAATTCTTTATATATTCTAGATAGGAATCCGCTGTCTGAAGGACAGTCTGCTACAATTGTTTCCTATTTCATGGCTTGTCCTTTTATTCTGTTGGTGGTTTCTTTTGATATGCAGGAACTTTGCAAAAATATGAGGTCCCAATTGTTGATTCTTTCAAGCATTTCCTATACAGTTTGATTTTTGTTCATGAACACTTTACCTACCCATGTGTCCTTAAGGTTTCTACCAACTTTCTCTTGTAGAAAATTTAGTGATTCATTTTTAATGTTTAAATATTTGAACCACCTTGACTACAGTTTGTGCATGGTGATAGGCATGGATTTATTTTAAGCTTTTGCCATGTTGATAGCCAGTAATTCCAGCCCTATTTATTAAAGAGACAATCTTTCTTCCAGTGAACATGTTTGGCCCCTTTGTCAAAGATAAGGTGGCTGAGTGTTTTTATAGTTTTATCTGCATCTTCTATTCTGTTCCTTTGATCCTGAGGTCTGTATTTTGCCACTACCATTCTGATTTTATCGCAGTAGCTTTGTAGTATAATTTCACGTCAGGGATTGTGATGTCTCTTCTGTGTCTCTTCTGGTTCCAAATGAATTTCAGGAAAGTTTTCTCTAGCTCTGTGAGGTATACTAATAGTATTATAATCAGAATTTCATTAAATCTATATAACAATTTTGGAAGTATGGCCATTTTCATAATGTTGTTTCTTCCTATCCAGGAGCATAAATATTGTTCTGTTTTCTCAAATCCTCTTCAATATCTTTTCTCAGAATACCTTAATTTTCACTGTATAAATCTTTTACATCCTTTATGAGATTGGTTCTTAATTATTTAATTTGGGGGGGTGTTATTTTGAGAAGTGTGGTTTCCATAATTTCTCTCTTGGTGCTTTCATTTTGTATAGAAATGCTGATGATTTTTGAGTGCTGACTTTGTGTCCAGCTATGTTACTGAATTTGATTATTAAAACCACAAGTCTCTTAGTGGAATTTTGGGGGCTTTTCTGTGTACAGTGTTGTATCATCTGCAAATAAAGACAATTTCCTTTCTTTCTAATCATTATTCCTTTTATTTTTCCCTCTTGTCTAATTTTTCTGGCTAATCTTTCCACAACCATAATGAATAGGAGTGGTGAGATTGGGCGTCCTTGTCTTGCTTCTGATTCTAAAGTGAAGGTTTTCCTTTAGTTCTTTTTTATTTTCTTACATATATTTACTTTAAAGAGAGTATAGCAATAATTGATATGACATCAGAAGCAGTACACATTTAGAAGATCAAAATAATAGGTATTTTAAGCATGTTTTTGGTGTTACATATTGCTGTCCACAACGTAGTTGCTTAGTTCACAGATAATACAACTCCTCTAACAGTAAGGGAACACCCATCTCTGACAAAACAAAACAAAAAAAGGAGGACATAAATAAAGGACCATTTAATAGTGAAAAAATATATGTATATACAAGATAGGATAGACATATAGCTACTTTCTCTTAGTTCAATAAGAAGAAAGTTTTGTACTACTGCTGCTTAGACAAGATATCATGTTCACATCTTGTCCTCTGAATGACTACTATGAAGGCAACAATATGCAATGTATTAATTATTGTGACTGTCCTTCTAACCTGTTTAGAAACTGTTTCATTGCTATTTTATCTGTTTTTCTCATTAAAATGAATGAAAATTTGAAAAAAAAAATGAAATGTTTCAATCTTTGTCCATTAAGTGTAATGCTGGCTGTTGGTTTGTTGTAGATGGCTTTCAATCAGGTTTAGGTAAAGAAAGCCTATTCTGATTTTCTATAGTTTTTTTTTTTCTATCATGAATTAGTGTTGGACTTTGTAAAAGCTTTTCTGCGTCTTTTGAGATGATCGTGTTTTTTTGCCTTTGACTCTACAGATGTGGTGAATTACATTTATGGTTTTGTGTATATTAAACCATCCTTGCATTCCTGGGATGAATCCCACTTGATTGTGATGTATAATCTCAATGATTTACTGCATTCTGTTTGCTAATATTTTATTGAGGATTTTTTTTCTTTTCAAAGTTTTATTGATAAACATATAGCAATGAGACAGTTTCAAATCAAATCGAAAGTACAGTTTCAACAAATAATACACTGCATATA